TGAATAAATTCTTTAAAAAAAAAAAGAAAAAAAGAATTTTTCAAATGTGTAGGGTATATATATGAAAGGAAAAAGTCAAAGATGCATATCTGGAAGGATATAGAACAAAACATTTAATATTGGTAACTTTAGAGGGTTGGGATTGTGAGAAGGGGCCTTTCACTTTCTACTTCACACCCTTGATTATATCTTTTTCCCAAATTACTATAAAATATTTAATATACTATAAAATAATTGAAGGTTCTAGTTCTTTTCTTTTTTTTTTTTAAAGATTTTATTTATTTATTTGACAGAGATCACAAGTAGGCAGAGAGCAGGCAGAGAGGGAGGAGGAAGCAGGCTCCCTGCTGAGCAGAGAGCCCGATGCGGGGCTCGATCCCAGAACCCTGAGACCAGGACCTGAGCCGAAGGCAGAGTCTTTAACCCACTGAGCCACCCAGGCGCCCCGGTTCTAGTTATTTTCAAACTACTCTAACAAACTACAAATAACAAACTATGGAATAGTTTATAAAATCTAAATACTTAGTGAAAGCAAGGATGATGTAACATTCTCATGTAAAGCTACTGAGAGTATAAACCTCTCAAAGGCCCAGAGTGTTCTTTCCAAACCTTCATCGTAATTCCACTTCTAGGTCTCTGTCCCTAAAAAGAAAATATGTTAACAAAAATTTATAGGTGTCCCAGTTATTGTCAGGAAAATTTGAAATCAAAATGTTAAGCAGCAAAGGAATGTTAAAAATTAAGACCCATCTGTATGATGTTATATTATGTAGCCCACTGAAATGTTTATAAAGAACTTTTGAAGAAACATAGTAAGTGAAAAAGAAATGAGAATACCAACATTTTTTTTCTTTCTTTTCATCCCATCCTTCCTCCCTCTGTGCTCTTTTTTTTTTTCTTTAAGATTTTATTTATTTATTTGACAGACAGAACACAAGTAGGCAGAGAGGCAGGCAGAGAGAGAGAGAGGGAAACAGGCTCCCCAGCGAGCAGAGAGCCCGATGAGGGGCCCGATCCCAGGACCCTGGGATCATGACCCAAGCCGAAGGCAGAGGCTTTAACCCCTCCTCTGTGCTCTTTATCTGAAAAGGAATTTGGCTCAAAGATTAACAATGACTGTTCATAAATGGTGCTTATATGTGATTTTTTACTTTTCTTCTCTGTAGCCTTCAGTGTCCCCTGTATTTTCTATAATAAACAAGTATTTTAAAAATGAGAAAACAAAATTTCAAAAAGAAGACACATATTAGGGGTGCCTGGGTGGCTCAGTTGGTTAAGCGACTGCCTTCAGCTCAGGTCATGATCCTGGAGTCCTGGGATCGAGTTCCGCATCGGGCTCCCAGCTTTGCAGGGAGTCTGCCTCTCCCTCTGACCTTCTACCCTCTCATGCTCTCTCTTACTCGCTCCCTCTCTCTCAAATAAATAAATAAGATCTTAAAAAAGAAAAAAGAACTGGGCACCTGGGTTGCTCAGTGGGTTAAATAAAGCCTCTGCCTTTGGCTGGGGTCATGATCCCAGGGTCCTGGGATTGAGCCCTGCATCAGGCTCTCTGCTCAGCAGGGAGCCTGCTTCCTCTCTCTGCCTGCCTCTCTGCCTACTTGTGATCTCTGTCTGTCAAATAAATAAATAAATCTTAAAAAAAAAAAAAAGAAAGAAAGAAAGGAAAACACATTAGTCCCAAATTCCATTCTCAAGCATAAAAGTAAATATATGTATTATTTTCCATTTAAAGATAAGGGAATTTCATCTGGGTGAAGACACCTGTACAAAATAATACAATTAAGCAAGTAGCAAACCCATCCCAAGTCCCATGCACCCCATGCATTGGAGAGAAAATATACCAGATGGAATTTACTAATAAAAGCCATACCCTGGGGCGCCTGGGTGGCTCAGTGGATTAAGCCTCTGCCCTGGGCTCAGGTCATGATCCCAGGGTTCTGGGATCAAGCCCCGCATGGGGCTCTCTGCTCAGCAGGGAGCCTGCTTAACCCCCTCTCTCTCTGCCTGCCTCTCTGCCTGCTTGTGATCTCTCTGTCAAATAAATAAAATCTTAAAAAAAAAAAAAAAGGCATACCCTATATAAAAAAGATACATTCAGAAGTCCTATCTTCCTAGGGATCAGACCTTGCAGCTCCACTCTGGCAAAATTAATTCCTTTCTTCATCATTATTTACTCGTGACTAGCTGCAATCAGATACCGCCAGATAAAAACTTGCCTAACTGGATTCTGCTCTTTGCTGGGATGAGAATATTTTGTGATTTCAAGAATATGGAAGCCTGCCTTGATAAAGAACAAGAACCTGTTCTTTAGGAGAATGGGGCAGAACAGAGAAACAGAGTCAGGCTTGGCACTGACTTCTAAAATTCCAGCTCCCCCTGTTTATAACAGGATGGGGGATGGGAAGCAGCTTTGGTGAGTTGCAAACAAAAGTATCTAGCAAGGAGTTAACCCTTGCACACTGATACAATGGAATGCTGTGTATTAAAAAGAATGACATGGCTACTTATATGGAAAGATCTTCAAGATGTTATTAAGGGGAAAAAAGGGAGAAGCTCAGAAATACGTATTTCATATATTCAACCACACACATATATATCTGTCTGAACATGTGCTATGATTTTCTGGGAGAATAAAATAAACATCATTAGCAGTGGTTCCCTCTGGAGGTTGGGGGTGGGAAGGGGAGTGCTTGAAATAGTTTTATGTCTTTTCAGTTTAAAATATACACATATAGGGGTGCCTGGGTGGCTCAGTGGGTTGAGGCCTCTGCCTTCGGCTCAGGTCGTGATCTCAGGGTCCTGGGATCGAGCCCCGCATCGGGCTCTCTGCTCAGCGGGGAGCCTGCCTCCCCCCACTCTCTGCCTGCCTCTCTGCCTACTTGTGATCTCTGTCTGTCAAATAAATAAATGAAAATTAAAAAAAATAATAAAAAAATAAAATAAAATATACACAATATACCTCTCCTTGGATTCAGCAGAGCCAAGGAGTCTTCAAATCACTCATCTGATGGATTGCATTAAACACTTGCATGATTCTAGGAAAAGGCAAAGAGCGACTTTACCAAGTTCCATGATCACTTGATTGCTGACAAGAAACCTCCATAAATTCCAATATGCACAAACACATTTTAAAACTTTCAAGATACTGTTTAATCAGTAGTTATAAGGCACATTTGTTAGACCTGCACTTCAACAATTACACAGACATCATTTAAAGTTACTAAAGTTGTCAAAACATATAAAAACATTCAAGTAAGAGGTATGCAAACCAGCAGCATTTAACCAAAACAAAGATATTAGCATAAATCAGGATCAATTTTATAACAGGGAAAGAACGGAGCTTCCATCTCACACATTTACACACACACACACACACACACACACACACACACACACATCTTGACTGTCCTCAGAAGCATGTTGAAGGCAAAAACATCTCTATAAGTGTGCTTGGCAAAAATGCCAACAATTAGATTTTTTTCAAGCGAGGACAGAGTGAACTTTTGGTTACTCAAAATTCCATGATACTCGGTTATTAGCTTGAAAAGCTCATTGGTCTCACGGGTACATAAATATCCAGTGTTAATGCTAACTTTGGGGAAGAGCCAGAAAATGATCAGGCAAAGGGGCAAATACACAGAAATGTGTGTGCCACAGCAAGCTCGCTTTGCTTCTCGGAGCAAGGAATCAATCATTTTTGAGTAACGGAGGGTAGGGGTGATGGTGGGAAATACTGTTAGCAGCAGCTTTCTAAAACATGTGCCAGCTTTAAACTCCAGGCTACTCCCTAGGAAAAGCTTTTGAGCCAGTGAAGGGAAGGAAAACAACAGAAGAAAGGCTCACATAGTCTGTTACAAAACTAAGTACTTTGGAAAAGATCCTGAAGACGTTAAGACGAGAACTGATGATGTGAAACAATAACTTAGGCTTATATTAAAAGGTTCAGAGCTATCAATTTTGGGTAAGCTTATGATGAGGTATTTACTGCACCTTTTTCCCCCCTGTAATAGAAACCCTGAAGCAATACTCTGCATATTTTGTAAAATATAAAAGAGCCCTTAAAATATGTGTATGTGCCTTGAAGATGCCAGCATTCAGTGTACTCCGGGTCACTGGCACAGGCTGGTCTGAGGCTGCAACCCACGGCCCTCCGGCGCTCCTGCACATAAACCCTGTGCTCCGTGCACGGCCCCACCCGCCCTTTTCAGCCTGGCTCTGAAGCGTGTAGTGTCCTTCAGAGATGAGGACCTCAGTGCAGCAAGGGAAATGGCATTTTGGAAGACTTGAAAGACAAACTTTGCCTCTTAGTTTTGATGACCCAGGGCCCTCTGCTAAGTCTCAGAACTCAGGACCAGGACGGACCCAGCACCGTAGAAGCAACTTCCCCCTGAGTACGAAGGCTGTAGCAAAATGCCACGGGAGCTAAGACGTCGAGGTCCTCGACCCGCAGCCATTCCTCTCCTCCTAAAGCTTCATCCAGGCTCTTCAGACACTGCTTACTGACACAGCAGGAGTGGCTTTACTCTCTCATATTACTACCAGGTAGCTGGGATCGCATACCCATCCTCTCCATGTTTCCACCCTCTGTTCCAAACATCCCACAATTCGAGGATTTCTCTTTATGGGAAAAAAAAAATTGGGTCTCATTTTAAGTCTAAAGGATTACTACTTCTGAAGGAACGCTTCTCAGCCTAAACCCCCAGAACCTGGCTGCAAAGGAACTAGCCCAGCTTCATAACCGGGTGACCGCCACAGTGAACCATAAAAGACCACACAAATGAGCTTTTTGAAAAATATAAAAGGGCTCTCCTCCTCAGTTTTTGTCCTGACAGCTTAAACGGCTTAATAACTCAGTTTTGGGGGAGAGTCATTAAGCCGTTGGTCTACAGGCAAACACTTGGGTTCAAACCAGGCTGCTTTTTCTAAGTCACGAGAGCCTTCCACAGGGGCCAGTCACCAAAAACAATGCCACGGCACCCGCATGAAGACAGCTGCCTTCAGGAAAGACCTGAACTCCAGAAAAATATATTTTACAAGTTCCGCTCCAAACCCAGGTGGACTGTGTAGGCTCGGCTGGTCACAAGTTCAGCTTAACGAGCAGGATCCTCATTGCCCATCCAGTCGGTTCTTCATATCCTTCTGGGCTTCTGTTAGTTTCTGGATCAGGTAACGCTTGTCACGACTTTCCTAAAGGTAGAAATCAGTGCAAAAACACATTCAATATATTTGGAAACAAATGTCTTCATTTCAACCTCATCAATTACCCGTCAGACTCAGGGTTAAGGATCCCAACCCCTGGACGGTGGTAACAGCCTCCAGACTGGTCAGCCTCTTGCCCTCTCGCCCCTCCACAACCTCTTGTCCACAGAGGAGCCAACAGTCTTTAAAAAAATAGATGTCAGACGGATGGGGCGCCTGGATGGCACAGTCGGTTGAGCATCCGACTCCCGGTTTCCGCCTGGGTTGTGATCTCAGGGTCATGAGACTGAGCCCCAAGTCGGGATCCACACTCACTGTGGTGTCTGCTTGATATTCTCTCTCAAAATCTCCCCCGCACTGGCTCACGCACACGCTCTCTAAATAGTAAATAATCTTAAAAAGAAATGTACATCAGACTGCTACTGTAATTCGTTTCCCATCACACTCAGAATTAAGCCCAAACTTGTCACCAGAGCCCTCACACTGTGCCGTGACCCCAGCGGACAATCCAGCATCACCTTGACTCTCCGGTCATGCCACCTGTCCCTGGGAGTGGCCTCGCTGTCCCCTCTGCCTGTTACTCTCATCCCCGAGGCCTCCCACAATGGGCTCCTCATCCTTCAAATCTCAGCTCCAATGTCACCTCCTCCAAGAGGCCCTCCATGACCACCATCTACAGCCGCAGAGGGCCGTTCCTCACCTAACTCTCCCGTCCGTGTTATCTTCACAGAGGCTCCCGCTACTGGAATTCATGGTTTCTCTGTAACTATTCAGCAGTCTCATCTCCCTCTGTCACCACTGTATCCCAGCACAGTATGAGGGTCAGGCAGTGATCACTGTACACACTGAAGGCATGGACAAGCCCATGACTGTGTGAAGATGGAGAAGGCCTGGCACCAGCGCAGTTCTGGGAAACAGTGGTGAGCCACGCCACGGCATTCCATCCCCTCTATGGGGAAAGTGCCACTCTCCTTTAGGTGTCCTGGGTAGATGTCCCCAGCCATTACCCTCTGGACCTGCTCTTCCTTACCAGGGACAGCTGCTCTCGGAGCTGGACCACCACCCGCTTGTGCGCTCCGGCCAGGGCGATGAAGTAAAACATGATGAGGCTGTAACAGAAGGAAGCGGTCACTAGGGAGTCTGTGCCAGCTGAAGGGCTGTTGGATAAACAACCTGGTCCATTTTGCCCAGAACAGGTTCACTTCTGTTAGGAAAAGAAGGAAAGAAGAGAGGGAGGGAGGGAGGAAAGGAGGGAGGGAGGGAGGGATGGACAGACAGGTGGAGGGGAAGGAAGGAAGGAAGGAAAAGAGGGAGGGAGGGAGGAAGGAAAAATCTGGGGTGTGACATTCTGGGTTCAAGCCCCGCAATGGGTGTAGAGATTACTTAAAAAAAAAAAAAAAAAAAGGGACGCCTGGGTGGCTCAGTTGGTTAAGCTGCTGCCTTTGGCTCAGGTCATGATCCCAGCATCCTGGGATCGAGTCCCACATCGGGCTCCTTGCTCAGCGGGAGCCTGTTTCTCCATCTGCCTCTGCCTGCCACTCTGTCTGCCTGTGCTCACTCTGACAAATAAATAAATAAAATCTTTAAAAAAAAAAAAAAAGGATGGGGGGGAGGGAGGAAGGAAGGAAGGAAGGGATCTCTCCTAAGCAGAGGACATAAGAAACAGCCCCAGAGGGGTATTTAGTTAGCAGTGGTAGTAGAGACTGATTCATGCCTTGCTTTTTAAGTCAATATTAAAAAGTTGTTGTTGTTCCCCTGGCACACACGGTATGACAGGGAAAGAGAAGGAGATGGTCCAGACAGCTCAGTATGGAAGGGACTGGCTGTGAATGATCACTTCCCTGGCCCCCGCTTCCTCATCTACAATGAGGATAATACAGTAAAACCCGGGGACAACAAGCCTAGGATAATAGATCTTTGAATAAAAGCAACTGGCTGTTGGCTCCTGTCTTCTGTGTGGTCCCAGATCTCAGAATGGGGGTGGCTGAAGTTATTATCTTTGGGGACAGGGGCATGTGGAGTGGACGGTGAGCCGCCAGGAAAACAGAAGGCAACCTCATTCCATTCCATGAAGGGGAGGTGGTTTCCTGTCTAATCTCCCCAGATAGGGCTGAAGAAGTAATGGAATCGTTCAGATCAATGATACTCTTCTGGAACACACTGTGGCCACAAGGCAAGAATGGCCAGATCAGGCAACTGCCACCAGATGGTGCCAGCCAAGCCATAGCTTGGAGTCAAACCCCCTAGGACAGAGTAGCTGGATCCTGAGGTACTCAGAATCCCAGGCTGACTGTCTGCATAGCTTCCCCAAGCCATTTTATTAATCTCTATCAAAGGTATCCTACCTTTAACAAATAAATTTTTCGGGTTCTCTTCTTGCATGGTGGTGGGGTTTTACTGTCAGACTATCTATATCAAGAGATAATTGCAATGATTTCATTACAGTTAATTCATGCCAGCTACAATCAATTCTAGTTATCTGTAGTAGTTACATTTTATAAAGCCTCCAGGAACACTGACTTAGTGACTTCTGAACCAGTGCCCCTAGGGGACAAACTGGGGCAGGTTCCTTGAGTCACCGGTCACAACATTTTTGTCAACTGATCAATACCCTCTTTTATGTTTCTTATTTATTGAGAAAGAAAGTTATCAAAATATAACGTTGTTTCTGTTTAAAGACATCTTATTTAAATATTATTGTTGATTCATTAACATTGAACCTGGCATCACCAGCGCTATAATGCATGCCCGAATGAAGCTTATCTAACTTACATATTTTCTTCGCAGGGCACATCACAAGCCCTCTTGCACCTAGGAATGACTAGAAGCCCTTCAGTATGCTTGGGGCCAATTTAAACAGTGAAATGACCCACCAAAAGCACAAAATGCCAGAAACCTGGCCCCACAGAGATCACAAAAGGACACTTACTCTTAGTATGAGAGCTGAAACAAGACAGACTACTGAGCATTGTTTGACTCTAGCCGGTAACATGCGTGCTATGGTGTGAATGTTTGTGTGCCCCCCAGATTCATGTTTGAAATCCTAATCCCAAGGTGATAGTATTAGGAAGTGGGGCATTTGGGAGGTGCTAAGGTCATGAGGATGGTGCCCTCATGAATGGGATTAGTGCCCTGATCAAAGGGGCCCCAGAGAACTAGCTCATCCCATCTGCTATGTGAGGATATGAGAAGTCTGCAAGCCAGAAGACGGCTCTCACCTAACCACGCAGACGGACACCTTGACCTTGGACTAGCAGCCTCCAGAGCTATAAGAAATAATTGGTTATAAGCCACCTAGTCTATGGTATTTTCTGTAAGCAACAGCCCAAACAGACTAAGATAGTGATTTTTGGGTGACTCCAATTTTTTGCCACTCTGTGCAAGTCCACAAATGACCATGAACTTGCCTCAAGCACTGATTTTGGGGTTACGAAATATTTTAGCAAGTAGGCATATTCACAACACAGAAACAAAAAATGGAATCCATTAATAATCAGGATAGACTATAATCAGAACAACACCCAGCACATAGTAAGACCTCAATGTACATTTATGATTAGAATTATTTTATTATTATTATTTTTTATTTAATGTAGGCTCCACACCCAGGATGAAGCCCAATGTGGGGTTTGAACCCCTGACCCTGAGATTGAGACCTGAACTGAGATCAAGAGTTAAGACACTTAGGGGCACCTGGGTGGCTCAGTCAGTTAAGCATCTGCCTTTGGCTCAGGTCGTGATCCCAGGGTCCTGGGATCGAGCCCTGAGTCGGGCTCCCCGTTGAGCAAGGAGCCTGCTTCTCCCTCTCCCTCTGCCTACTGCTCCCCCTACTTGGGTTCTTTTTCTCTCTGTCAAATAAATGAATTTTTAAAATCTTTAAAAAAATTAAAAAAAAGAGTCAGACACCAAATGAGCTACCCAGATGGCCCTAGAATTACTTTAACACTCAAAATGAATCACTATGCAGAAAAGATTCTTATCACCTTGATATAGAACACCTGTCATTTACTGTGCTTTTACTAAGGGCCAGGTCCTCTGCTACCCATTTCACTATGTTAACTGTATTGCCTTCTTCTCACAACCCTATGAGGTATGTGCCATTCTTACCTCATTTTCCAGGTGAGGAAACTGAGGCACAGGGGGGACACATTCTATGTATAAGTAGTGGAGACAGGGTTCAAGTGCATGCTTCTAATTCAGTGCTCTTCTCTCTCCCCAGTAATCACTTTCTTTATCAAAGTGCAAGTGATTTTGTAAATAATAATATTAATCAGCAATGGTTACTGGGTTTTTATGGCAGGCAATGGGCTAAGTGCTTTAGCTGCAGGATCATTTTTTTTTTTTTTAAGATTTTATTTATTTCTTTGACAGGGAGTGAGAGAAGGAACACAAGCAGAGGGAGTGGGAGAGGGAGAAGCAGGCTTCCCGCAGAGCACGGAACCAAATGTGGGGCTTGATCCCAGGACCCTGAGATCATGACCTGAGCCAAAGGCAGATGCTTAATCTTACTAGACCTGCTCAATGACCCTCTTAAAGAATCACTATTTTGGAGCCTCCAGGTGGCTCCCAACTCTTGATTTTAGCTCAGGTCACGATCTCAAGGTCAGGAGATCAAGCCCTGTGGCAGGCTCCTGCTCACCACAAAGCCTGTTTGGGATTCTCGTCCTCTCCCTTTGCCTTTGCCCCTCCCCTGTTCACATGTGCATGCTTTCTCTCTCTCTCTCTCTCTCCCTAAATAATACATAAAATCTTAAAAAAAAAAAATCACTATTATGATGCCCATTCTAAAAATGGGAAAGGGGGGGCGCCTGCATGGCTCGGTGGGCTAAGCCTCTGCCTTCGGCTCTGGTCATGATCTCAGGGTCCTGGGATCGAGCCCCACATCGGGCTCTCTGCTCAGCAGTGAGCCTGCTTCCTCCTCTCTCTGCCTGCCTCTCTGCCTACTTGTGATCTCTCTCTCTTTCTGTCAAATAAATAAATAAAATCTTAAATAAATAAATAAATAAATAAATAAAATGGGAAAGGAAGCCTCACAAAGGTTCAGAAACTTTTTAAAGATTTTATTTATTTAAGAGAGACAGAGAGAGAGAAAGACAGAGAGCACACAAGCAGGGGGAGGAGCAGAGGGAGAGAGAGAAGCAAACTCCCCGCTAAGCAGGGAGCCCAACTTGGGGCTGGATCACAGGACCTTGGGTCATGACCTGAGTCAAAGGCAGACACTTAAATGACTGAGCCACCCTGGCATCCCCTACCTTCTTATTAAAATATTTGATTTGAGAGAGAGAGGAGAGAGAGCACACAGCAGGGAGGGGGCAGAGGGAGAGGGGAGGTTCTGTAACTTATCAAGTGTATAGCAGGTGAGCTCGCATTTCCCAGCAGAGAAGGCTCCATGGGCCTGCACGGAGAATACTTGCAGGGGTGCAGGCGGTTCTTACTCACCAGATGATCATGAAGAAAGGCACTGCGAAGGCTTCCGATGTGACGCCATAGACCAGGGACTGCAGAGAGCTGGGAAAGGTGCTCACTGTCTTGGGGACCACCTCCCACGTGGTGTTGAAGTTGGTGAACGGCCCACAGGCTTTCGAGGAAGGGATGCTACCAAGACATAGACCCAGGGGCTCAGGGTGAGGCACGGAACACAGGCTGAGCGTCTGTCCTCTCACACCCACAGGCTCGTTACCAGTGACCCGAGAGGAACTGCCTGGTCTTATGGGCCGAATGGAATGTTCTGGTCAAAAACGCTGACCCTGGGCGCCTGGGTGGCTCAGGGGTTAGGCCTCTGCCTTCGGCTCAGGTCGTGATCTCAGGGTCCTGGGATCGAGCTCCGCATCGGGCTCTCTGCTCGGCGGGGAGCCTGCTTCCCCCTCTCTCTGCCTGCCTCTCTGCCTACTTGTGATCTCTGTCAAATAAATAAAATCTTAAAAAAACAAAACAACAACAAAAAAAAACGCTGACCCTGAAACTTCATCTAGTCTCTAGACTGACTTTCAGGTCACAGGAAATTTAGCACAGAAGAGCAAGTTAAATGGCGCTGTGAGGTAACAATCAAACAGACCCAGAATGTGGTGGTGATTTTATTCACCAATCTCTTAATTTGGAGGTGAGGAAACTACTGTGGACTCTGCAAAGAATCAAAGATTCTGTTAAATGAATTAATTTTTTAAAAATATGCTCCACACCCAACATGGGGCTAGAACTCACGACCCTGAGATCAAGAGTCATATGCTCCACCAACTGAGCCAGCCAGGCGCCCTTTAAGAATCCACGATTAATGGGGCACCTGGGCTCAGTGGGTTAAGCCACTGCCTTCGGCTCAGGTCATGATCTCAGAGTCCTGGGATCGAGCCCCGCATTGGGCTCTCTGCTCGGCCGGGAGCCTGCTTCCTCCTCTCTCTCTGCCTGCCTCTCTCCCTACTTGTGATCTCTCTGTCAAATAAATAAATAAAATCTTTAAAAAAAAAAAAAAAAAAAAGAATCCACGATTAAAAGAGAGTAAAGAGGAACGCTTGGCTGGCTTGGTCAGATGAGAATACAACCCATGATTTCAGGGTCAGGAGTCCAAGCCCCACATTGGGTATAGAGATTACTTAAAATAAAATTAAAGGAGAGTAAGGAGACATAGCAATGAAAAGCAATGGGTAAAACATGAAAGATGCTCATTTTAAAAACAAGGCCACAGGGGCGCCTGGCTGGCTCAGTGGGTTAAGTCACTGCCTTCGGCTCGGGTCATGGTCCCGGGGTCCTGGGATCAAGCCCCGCATCGGGTTCTCTGCTCGGTGGGGAGCCCGCTTCCTCCTCTCTCCTGCCTGCCTCTCTGCCTACTTGTGATCTCTGTCTGTCAGATAAATAAATAAAATCTTTAAAAAAAAAAAAAAACAAGGCCATAAAAGACTATCTGGGGACAAATGGAGAAATTTGAAAATGGCAGAAATATTAGTATTAATTACATACAATAATGTTATTGCAGATGCGTGGGAAGGAGGATGCTCTTACTTTTAGAAGCTGCACGCTCAAGTATTTAGCTCCAATTCTCCATGTACCCCCAGATCTCAAAATGGGGGTGGCTGAGGTTATTATTGAGGTAGCTGTGGTGTCCATAACAATCTCAAACGGGTCATGACAGCCATAAAAAATGTAGGCGCAGAGAGAGAGAGAAAACAAATGCAGCGAAATCAAAATGTTAACAACTGGGACATCTAGTTGAAGGGTATAGGAGTCTTCGCTGTTGCTATTTTTTCAAATTTTTCAAAATAAAAAGTAAGGGAAAATCAAAATTACAATGGAAAAAATTTGTCATTAAGACCTACAAAGAAAAAAAAAAGACCTACAAAAAACTCCCTATATTCACATCACAAAGATCTATGTGTATGATTTTCCATTGCAGCTCAACTTTATGGGTTAAAAAACACTCTGGGAAGCAACCTAACTATTCCTTAAGGAAATGGATGAACAATTTATGATCTATTAATAAAACAGAATGCTAAAAAAAAAACACTGAAAGAGACACAGAGATCTGAAAAGACTGGTTCCCAGGCAGAAACTAAGTAGTTGGGAAATAGGACTGGAAAATGAATTGCCATCATATACTCTTATACTTTTTGAATTTTGTGTCATGTGAATGTATGTATTATATAAAAAAAAGTCAAAGCTAAAAAACATTTAAAACAATGAGAGTTCTATATATGTTGGTATGGAAAAGGACACAATATAAAATTAAGTGGAAAAAAAAAAAGCAGTCAGTCAGAGTTACAGCATTATTCCATATGTGTCTTTTAAAAATAAATACATTATTAAAAAAAATCTTAAAAAAAATTAAAAAAAATAAAATTAAATTAAATTTAAAAAAAAGGGGGGTGCCTGGGTGGCTCAGTGGTTAAAGCCTCTGCCTTCAGCTCAGGTCATGGTCTCAGGATCCTGGGATCGAGTCCCGCATCAGGCTCTCTGCTCAGCAGGGAGCCTGCCTCCTTCTCATCTCTCTCTGCCTGCCTCTCTGCTTACTTGTGGTCTGTCAAAAAAAAAAAAAAAATCTTTAAAAATAAATACATTGTTCATATGAATTTCTGGAAGTATTCATAAAATATTAATAGTGGTTACCTTGGCAGAATGGGACCAAGAAGGGAGGATGAGTGGCACTTTTTTTCTCTTTAATTTATACCCTTTTGTACTGTTTGACTTTTTATATAACATCTATTATTATAACAAGAAACAATAAAAATATATATACTCAAACTGGTTAAAAAACAAAATCTGAGAGACAGATTCAAAGTTTAAGAATTTTTTTTTTAAAGATTTTATTTATTTGACAGACAGAGATCACAAGTAGGCAGAGAGGCAGGCAGAGAAAGAGGAGGAAGCAGGCTCCCTGCTGATCAGAGAGCCCGATGTGGGGCTCGATCCCAGGACCCCAAGATCATGACCTGAGCCGAAGGCAGAGGCTTCAACCCACTGAGCCACCCAGGCACCCCAAAGTTTAAGAATTTTAATTTAAAGATGAAGAAATGAAATTGCATGAGAATAAATCAGAGAGATTGGTAAACTATAACCCATGGGCCAAATCTGAACCATCATCTGTTTTTTATAAATAAAGTTTTATTGGAACACAGTCATGCCCATTAGTTTGTATATTGTCTGTGGCTGCTTTCATAATGACACAAGAGAGTTAAACAGTTGCTAATGACACTATATGGCCCACAAAGCCTAAATATTTAGGCTTGCCCTTTACAGAAAATGTTTACTGGCCTTTGATATAAATGGCTATACACCTAGGAAGTAGGGTCACTGGAGCTTGAACCCCCAATTTTTGATCCTTAGTCTTAAGCATTTCTACTCTTACCGAATTCCACACTACACTCTATATTCCTTGTGGCATGTCTGAATCATCTCTATACTCCTAGCACTTAGCACAGTGCTTGTCACACTGAAGACACTCCAAGTCTTCTTATTTTTGTAACCAGAAACAAATGAGATTAGAAGAGAGGTCCCAGGCAAAGGGAGTAGGGCAGGACAGACCTGCTGGCACTCTCTAGAACAAGGGCAACAGTGTAAGCCCAGCTTCTGGAAGTGGACCAGGACATTCCAGCATTCAGGGAGAGATTCCAAAACAAAGGTGGGCCTGGCCAAACCAGGAGTGACTTACCGACTTTTGCAGATGGAACCTCATGAGGAAAGCCAGTAAAGAATTCAAGGGACCCTTGAACAGAAAAGAGGGATGTGCCAAGAAGCAAACAAATGTTCTAGAAAACAGAGTCATATTTACCGTGCCATGCTGATTGTCAGAGGTATTATGGCCAAACACAACCCAATCAACAACACCAACAAGAAGAAGAAATTAGAATTGGAGGCTCTGAACTGCCTGGGGGAGGGTCGGCAGGTATAAAGAAGACTCATCTAAAGGGAGAGAAGGAAAGAGAAAAAAAAGTAAGAGTCTATCTTCCCTGAAGATCAACGAGCCCATTCATGCATTCCAGTGGGAATGTAAACTGGTAGGACTTTTCCAGAGGGTAGTCAGCAATCTAGATCAAAATGAAACCTGATTCATCCAGGCCTCAACCCTGGGGAAATTCATCCCAATGAAAAAATAGAATAAAGGGGCCAAAATACATGGATATGGATGTTTACTGCTGCAGGTGCTAATGTGTGGGGATAACTGGAAGCAACCAAAATAGCGATCAACAGGGGCTGCTTGAAGGTTCAAGGGCATCTGCACAGTGAGATACTGAGAGAGCTCTACGTCCCCGATGGCACTGTGAAATGTGCCCTATGATCTCATTTACGTTTTTGGGTTTTTTTGTTTTGGTTTTTTTTTAATTTGACAGAGAGAGGGATCACAGGTAGACAGAGAGGCAGGTGGGGGCGGGACCGGGGGGAAGCAGGCTCTGTGCCGAGCAGGGAGCCCGTTGTGTGGCTCCATCCCAGGACTCTGGGATCATGACCTGAGCCAAAGGCAGAGGCTTTAACCCACTGAACCACCCAGGCACCCCCTCATTTACGTTTTTTAAAAAGTATTCTTCATAGGAGTTTAAATATGCATTAAATGGATCTACGCTAACAAGGAACAAGAGAGATTTTGTTTGAATTTTTTATAAGCATATTTATTTTTCCTCTGTATTAAAAACAAATATTTCCAGGGTGCTTGGGTGGCTTAGTTGGTGAAGCATCTGTCTTTGGTTCAGGTCATGATCTTGGGGTCCTGGGATCCAGCCCCATGTTGGGATGCCTGCTCAGCAGGGAGTCTGCTTCTTCCTCTGCCCCTCCTCCTGCTCTGTCAGTCGCTCTCTCTCTCTCTCTCTCTCACGCTCTTTCTCTCTCTCAAATAAATAAATAACATCTTTTAAAAAAATAAAAATAAAAAAAATAAAAGCAAATTTTCTACCAAGGTGAAAAAGACTTGTGGAAACATCAAGTGGAAAGGAGTGAAGGGTACATTTATAGGCATAAAATTTCTCCTTAATATTTTTAGAGACTACATTACTGGGAGGGGGCCTTAAGCTGCTCTTACCTCAGCAGTAGTCAGAAAATCTTGTGAGCTGGACGGCAATGAGCGCCAGGGACCCCCGGTGTCCTGTTCAGGGGTTGCTGGGTGGTCAGGCCTGTGGTGTCAGAATTCAGCCCAGTGCCCATGACCTACTCTGTTACCCCCACATGTCTTTACTAAGCCACACACCAGAAAAGCACTGGGTGACCAATATTTTCAGGGAAAGGAGAAAGTTCTAAGTTTTCTCACATCCATCTCTCCTTTGGTGCTTTCAACCAACTCAAGTTTCCACATGAAAGCACCAGAACATTCTTCAAAGGCCAAAACATCTGGGTTGGAAGTACAGCCCAATTCAAGGTGCTGCTTACCTAAGGATTAAAGAGCTTAGGCCCTCGAATGAAGTAAATCTGGAGTCACTTGTAAGCTGTGTGACCTGGGCCTACTTACTTAACCTCTCTGAACTTCAGCTTTCTGATTTGTAAAATATGGTTAACATCAGTACCTACTTCAAAAGATGAGTGTAAGCATTCCATGATGACCTGTGTACAGTGTTCAGCAGAGTGGGGGCACATGGTATTCTTACAACTTATATTACTGTCATTATTATTAATGCTATTATTATTACCTCCATTTCTGAATCCTTAGGGCTTGGCATAATAGGTAATAAGTAAGCATGGGGCCTGTTAACAGAGGGCAACTCCAGAAGAAGGGTTGGAAGTTACTGTATACATATCTGTATATAGTTTATAAAGGTTGTTTTTTTTTTTTTAAAGATTTGTTTGTTTTGAGAGAGAGCACCTGGGGTATGCGGGCAGGGCCAGAGGGAGAGACAGAGAGAATGTTAAGTAGACTATACTGAGTCTGGAGCCCGATGCAAGGCTTGATCTCATGACCCTGAGATCAGGACCTGAGCCGAAACCAAGAGTTAGATGCTCAATTGACTGTGCCACCCAGGCACCCCTGTCTATAGTTTAATAGTGAGCATATATTGCCTCAATAATAATAATAACAACAGCTCAGTTAATAAGCCCAGATCAATTAGTCATTCACAGAGCACTCTACCCAATAAGCACTTAGTTCAGCCACAATGCTCGGGGACTGTGAGCCATTTGAGGAGCAACACAAATACTTGAGACCTGAAAATAAATACATCGGCTCCAACATCCAAATGGAAAATTATAAAACTTAAATTAATAGATGTTTTGTGAAACATCACCAAAATATGCCACTGCCCACTGATGGCTCAACTGTGGCTCCCCTCTTAATTTACTTACAAAAACAACATTAAAATCACAGGAGCAAAAAAAGTCCTAACAAAACTCTCAAAATTATAAAGATGTGGAAATCCATCCCAAGTCTTTTTTCCAGAATAAAAATACACACCAAATAAGGGATGTAATTTTGATAAGTCTGATGTGTGTGTGGGCTGTAGACACACAACCTGCTGAATGTCTTGGGAGGTCAAGAATGGTCCAGAATATGAGCTCCCTCCACCCCCACTCTCCTTACCTCTTTCACATAAAAGATGATAATGAACTTCAAGGTTGCAATGGCAGGGAGAAGAGGTGAGAAAAAGGCTCCAATCCAGCAAATGGTTTGCCCATAGACGATCCCCAGGACGTTATCAGGAATGGCAAATTCCTGTTGTCCCCAGCACTGAATCAGCTTCCAAGAAGAACAGTAGGTCACCAGGAGCCTGGACACGAACGGGACAATTTGTCACCTGGACTGCCAGTGCCTGCCCCGACCACAGAACCACATCTACCCCATCAAGGCTGTTTCTACACACATTTCTCGTGCCTTATAATTTGTCAGTGTAGCCCCTACTGATGGGCATTTAGGTTGTCTCCAGTGTTTTTGCTGATACGTGGCACTCTACAGTGAGCAACTGTGTGTGTGTTAATCTCGGGCCCCTGGTCCTAGGGGGCCAAATGAGTTAGACAAGGTTCGTTTTCCTCATTGGGAATGTGGGGGAATTTTAACCCAACCTACTTCACCAGGTTGTGGTGACAATGGTTGACACAGGCAGTCGCTGTGCTCGTTTGCCACTCAGCCCAAAAAGTAACGTGCATTCACACAGAAAATGGCTTACGAGAACCCTATCACCAAGCTTGCCACTTCTTGGAATCCTACATTCTCTCCCTCTGCCCCTCCTCTCACCACCCCCCAACTCTCTCTCTCTCTCTCTAAAAAAATAAAAAATAAAGAAAAATAGAGTCGCCTGGGTGGCGCAGTCAGCACGAAGTTTAAATAGCTTGCCCAAGGTCACATGACCAGCAAGTGGCAGCGCTGGGGCGTGAACCTGGAGGGTCTCCCCTGACAGTAGCTGTGCTGATGGCCAGAAGCCATCTCCATGGAAAGCGCCATTTTGGTTCCTGCTGCCTTTCAAGGGGGCACCTAATGGACTATGGGGTCAATGGCCTAGAGGCAACTCTAAGTCTTTGGATGGTTGTCAGTGATTTCTGTGAGCTGAAGAGCAGCTGTGATGGGAGCCTCCACTGGGGATATGGAAGGGACTGGGAGGGGTAGGCGGAAATCAGAGGGGTACCCCTCACACTTACTTTCTGGGAAAATCCACAAAAAGCGTCACAGCCAAGATGATGATGAGGTCAAAGATCATCAGCTTGTACATTTCCTGCCCAACCTGGGTCTCCCAGCACTGAAACCAAAGAGTTCAAGAGAAAATGAGGCCCAACGTGGGGCAGAGAAAGCCAGGTTCTCACACTCCTTCCAATAGCCCTGTCTAAGCTCAGGTTCTGCTGCCTCTGGAGGCCATCCACTGACGCTCCTCGGAGATCCAGCACACACTCTGGTGTTCAAGCTATAGAAGGGCCTGCTGTGTGAGACTCGGCTATACAGCAGGAAAGCAGATCAGCTGGGATTCAAACCCATAGCTTTGAGGGCTGTTCTCTTGACTTTGAGCCTGTCACACACCTCCCCACCCCCACCCCGGCCAATTACCGCCCCCTGCAGGACGCCCCCATCCCTGCAGGCTCACCGGGTAGAGTTTCTGGTTGTAGCCACACAGCTCACAGGAGTAGTTATCACAGGATGTAATCTTGGAGCCCAGGGTGAACACCAGCACACAGATGGTAGCCAGCCGCATAAAGACACACCTGCGGGGGGATAAGAGGGAGGGGAGGGGATGGGAAGAAGCCTCAGGGCAGGCGGGCTACCTGGAACTAAGGCTAGAGAGCAGAAAACCTTCAAACCAAACCCACAAATAATCAGAGAGTTTCTGTTTGGGATTCTGAGAACGTTCTAGAAATGGATAGCAGCGCTGGTGGCACAGCATGGGGAATGTACTTAATGCCACAGGACTGTACACTTACAAATGTCTGGGGGCACCTGGGTGGTTTAGTCGGTTAAGTGTCTGACTGTTGATTTCAGCTCATGCCATGATCTCAGGGTCCTGGGATCAAGTCCCATATCACGCTCCATGCTCAGCATAGAGTCTGCTTGAGATTCTCTCTCTTTCTCCCTCGGCCCCTCCCCCTGCTGGTGCACGCTCTATAAATAAATTAAATAAATAAATAAATAAATTTAAACTTTATTTATTTATTTTTTAAAAAGATTTTATTTATTTGAGAGAGAGAAGGAGAGAGAGAGCAACAGAGCACAAGCAAGGGGAGCAGCAGGCTGAGGGAGAGAGAGAAGCAGGCTCCCTGTTGAGCCAGGAGCCCGATGCAGGGCTGGATCCCAGGACTGGGATCATGAGCTCAGTGGAAGGCAGACACTCAGGCACCCTAAATATTTTTTTTTAATGTCTACAATGGGGGCACCTGGATGGCACATTCAGGGGAGCATGTGGTCTCAAGGTTGTGAGTTCTAGTCTCACACTGGGTGAGGAGATTACATAAAAACAAAATCTTTTTAAAAAATGTCTAAAATCGGGGTGCCTGGGTGGTTCAGTGGGTTAAGGCCTCTGCCTTCGGCTCAGGTCATGATCGCAGGGTCCTGGGATCGAGCCCCCCCACATTGGACTCTCTGCTTGGTGGGGAGCCTGCTTCCCCGTCTCTCTCTCTGCCTGCCTCTCTGCCAACTTGTGCTCTCTCTCTCTGACAAATGAATGGATAAAATCTTAAAAAAAAAAAAAAAAAAGTCTAAAATGAAGGGGCGCCTGGCAGCTCAGTAGTTTAGGCCTCTGCCTTTGGCTCAGGTTGTGGTCCTGGGGTCCTGGGGTAGAGCCCCACATTGGGCTCTCTGTGGGAGCCAGTTCTCTCAACAGGGAGCCAGCCCCCCCGCCCCCGTGCCCCACCACCGCCTGCCTCTCTGCCTACTTGTGATCTCTGTCTGGCAAATAAATAAACAAGGGGTGCCTGGGTAGATCAGTGGATTAAAGCCTTCTGCCTTCGGCTCAGGTCATGATCCCAGGGTCCTGGGACTGAGCCCCGCATCGGGCTCTCTGCTCAGTGCAGAGCCTGCTTCCTCCTCTCTCTCTGCCTGCCTCTCTGCCTACTTGTGATCTCTGCCTGTCAAATAAATAAACAAAATCTAAAAAGTAAAAAAATAATAAAAAGATGAAAAACAAATTAAAAAATGTCTAAAATGGTAAATTTTATGTTATGTATGTACTTTGCGACTATTTTTTTTAAACGGCAAGGGAAAAAGGGATGAGAAAGCTGGGAATTCCTAAACCCATGATGTTATAGCCACACTATAGAACATGATGCATTGCTGAAGGGAACTAATGGAATCTTTTAAGTATGAGCTTTGAGTGACGTCTGATATACTGAGAAGGGGAAAAAGCATGTTACAGAGTGTCACTTATATATGATCTTGTTTCTAAAAGAACACAAAATGTGCGAATAAACACCAGGAACCCCACAGATGAGGGATCCCTTGGGAAGCAGGATTCGAGACAGGAGGGCAGAGTGGGCTAACTTTTTTGAAAGATGCTTTTCTATTGTTTGGCTATAAAAAAAATGAAATATGAAAAAGTGGGGGGAAAAGCAAAGCCACACATCTGCTCACTCCTCTCATTACGTAGCATGCCACCTGACAGCCTATCCCTCCTGCTGGAATTCGAGCACCCAGCACCACTCAGGAGGGGCCCATAACTAAAGATGGAATCAAATAAAAAGTCAAAATCGACACTGTAGTTTATGGCAACTGCGGGCAACAGAATGCAGAACACAAAGAAACAATGAATTAAATCCACATGAGGGGACATGCTACAGGACAAATATTCATTTCTTCCACAAATCCATGGCCTAATGAAAGGGGTAGGGGTTCTTAAAAGAGTAAAGGGGGCTTAAGAGACATAACAACCAAACGTAGCATGTGGCCTTTGTCTGGATCCTGCTTTGAACCAACTAATCCTCGAAAGTCATTTGCAACTTCATTGGGAACTGACTTAATTTTATGAGGTGTGATGATGGTCTGTTAAGGGGGGAAAAGGGTGAAAAAAGATTTGCTTAAAATAATCCAGCTAAAGTTGGGGGCGGGGACAGATGAAACAAGATCAGCAAATGGTTGGTAATGATCAAAACTAAGTGGGGCGCCTGGGTGGCTCAGTGGGTTAAGCGTCGGCTCGGGTCATGATCTCGGGGTCCTGGGATCGAGCCCCGCGTCGGGCTCTCCGCTCAGCGGGGAGCCTGCTTCCTCCTCTCTCCTTTGCCTGCTTGTGATCTCTCTCTGTCAAATAAATAAATAAAATCTTTAAAAAAAAAAACAAAAAAAAACTAAGTGATGGGCATATGGAGGCTTATTATACCTTCCGTTTCTGTTTGAAATTTTCCAAAATAAAGTTTTTTTAAAAAATACAAATGCCGGGGGGCACCTGGGTGGCTCAGTGGGTTAAAGCCTCTGCCTTCAGCTCAGGTCATGATCTAAGGGTCCTGGGATCGAGCCCCGCTTCGGGCTCTCTGCTCAGTGGGGAGCCTGCTTCCCCCTCTCTCTCTCTGCCTGCTTCTCTGCCTACTTGTGATCTCTCTGTCAAATAAATAAATAAAATCTTTAAAAAATACAAATGCCATCTGAGGCATGAAACTCTCTATTTCACACAGCCCCCAGCTGGTCCTCTAAACTTACTTGTGTTAGCTCCCTAGACCCTGCTTTACAGCTGTCCTTTCTTTCTTTTTCTTTTTTTTGGAAAGATTTTATTTATTTATTTATTTATGTGACACAGAGAGAGAGAGAGAGACAGCGAGAGAAGGAACACAAGCAGGGGGAATGGGAGAGCAGACTTCCTGCTGAGCAGGGAGCCCAACACGGGGCTCAATCCCAGGACACCGGGATCATGACCTGAGCTGAAGGCAGACACTTAACAACTGAGCCACCCAGGTGCCCCTCTTCTTTTTTTTTCTCTTTAAGAAACTGAGTGTTTATTTAGAATGAGAAGAGACAGTACAACAAATTATAAGCAGTCAGCTACAGCACACCCAGTCAGTGACCTGGCAACACTTTCTCAGCCCTTACTAAGCCAGCAGATGCCCCAGGTTCCTGGTGTAAGCACTTGTAAGTCTCCTCCCAAGGCACATGCACAGGGGCCTAGCGAGGTGGGAGCATGGGGAGTTGATGCCTCCGGGAGCCGGCCACCCTTATGAAGTACAGGACAGACACCTTGGTGGGTAGGAACCCACTAATCTATATGCCACCCAAACACCCAGTTTCCTAGTAGGGCCGAGCCCCGGCTGCCAACAGCCCCAATAAGATACACTTTATCAGCTGCCTTCCCTTTGCTGTCTCATTTCCTCATTTCCCTGCTGGTATACTGTCATTCCTAACATCTGAGTAATCCCAGGGCCCCACCTTATGCCCTCAGCTGTCAATGTGCTAATACGTGAACCAAAAATATAATACCGCATGTCTCTTTGACATGCTTACGTCAAAGAGATTTCACTGCATGGGCAAACTCTGATTCATTCATGTGGGTTGTTCTTGGGTCAGCAGGAAAAGGGGCCACAAGTGATTAACAAGGTCTGCCATGGGCAAGTGGTGACCTGCTTGGCATGTCTAGGCATTACCTAAGGATTGTCAGCCGGATCTCAAAGCCTGGAGAATAATCCTCATAGTGGATGATCTTGGCAAAGATCATTGGGGTGATAAAATTGGCCAGCGTGATCACAATAGAAGGCAGGTACAGTATCAAAAGGTTCTCTCCAAAAACCATCTTGTCAATTTCCTATGAAGATAACAAAGGGAAGTTGCATCACATATGAAATGACCTTGAAGGAACTAACTACACGGATGTCAAGTCATTATGCTATACATCTTATGTTATATGTCAACTATGTCAATAGAACCGGAAGAGAAAAAAAGAACTCTGCTATATATATTTAAATAACAAATGAAACATATATGTCATTCAGCACGGCCCCTAAACATAAGCCATTTTCTGGGGTCCTTGGGCCACTCAGTGGCTTAAGTATCTGACTCTTGATTTTGGCTTAAGGCATGATCTCAAGGTCGTGAGATCAAGCCCCATATCTGGCTACACACTGAGCATGGAGCCTGCTTGGGAGTCTCTCTCTCCTTCTTCCTTTGTCCCTCACTCTCTCTCTGTAAAAAAAAAAGGGGGGGGCGGTGCCTGAGTGGCTCAGGTTGAGCCTCTGCCTTCAGCTCAGGTCATGATCTCAGGGTCCTGGGATCGAGGCCCACATTGGGTTCTCTGCTCAGTGGGGAGCCAGCTTCCCCCCCTCTCTCTGCCTACTTGTGATCTCTCTCTCTCTGTCAAATAAATAAATAAAATCTTTTTAAAAAATTAAAAATTAAATAAAAATAAAAATAAACATAAGTCATTTCCCTTTTTGGATGTTCAAATAGAGGAATCATGCTCTAGTATCAGAGAAAGAAAAATTAGCTCTATTGGATGAATTAAGGTCAAGTATTAAAGAAAATTCATAGTCTATATTAATGGATAATTTAAAGTATTTTCAAGGCCATAGTAGTTATTGATTTGGACTAGCCATTCTCTCCTTTCAGAGTACTAGACTATTTGGCCACATACACAGCTATCTGGGGAAAAAACTATTATTTCCTGGCCTCTCTTAGAGTGAGTTACAGCTATCTGACTAAATTCTGGCCAAAGGGATGTTAGTAGACGTTTAAGTGCAAGCACTTAAAAGGTCTTGCCCTTGAAGAAAAGGGTATACCTTCCCATCCTTCCTGTTGGCTAGAATGTGGACATGCTGAACTACCTCGTACCACACAGAAGAGGGCATACCCTAAGGATGGCAGAGCCACAAGATGGAAGGAACCTGGGCCCCCTCCTCCAATGATTGATTGAATCAAAGCCACCAGACCAACGTGGATTTTTAAAACCACTGCTATTTTAGGTAAACTGGGGCCGCAGCTAATCAGTAGAGGAGTTGAGGAGTAAATGTAGGTAGGCAAACCTGAATTTGAATACTGTGGATTCTAGGAGGAATTCCAAACACTCTTGTTGGATGGTCTTATATTTTTATTAAAAGTAGAAATTGGGAGGGGCGCCTGGGTGGCTCAGTGGGTTAAGTCTCTTCCCCCGCCTCTCTGCCTGCCTCTCTGCCTACTTGTGATCTTTCTCTCTGTCAAATAAATACATAAAATCTTAAAAAAAAAAAAAAAAAGTAGAAATTGGGGGCTACTGGATGGCTCAGTGGGTTAAAGGGTGTGCATTCGGCTCAGGTTGTGATCCTACGGTGTGGAATCAAGCCCCTCCTTGGGCGCCCTGCTCAGCGGGGAGCCTGCTTCTCCCTCTCTCCCCTGCTTATGCTCTCTCTCTCTCACTATCTCTCTCTTTCAAATAAATAAATAAAATCTTCAAAAAAAAAAAAAGTAGAAATTGGTTACCTCTGATTTTCAATTCTCTGAACAGTCGAACTTAGATCCTTACGTATAAAACAGAAATGATGATGGTCTCTACGTCAGAGGCTGGTAATGCACTTGGCACACCTAATGTCCAACCAGGGTAACAGTTAAACTGACTTTCACAGAGTACTCACTTTTTTCATGTGCTCTTGTGAGAATATTGTCGCTCTATAGATTGCATAAAAGCATGCGGCTAAAACGGCTAGAACAATACAGTTCAAAAACAGTCTCAGAGAGTAAATCCGTATGGTCTCTTCTGATGTCCTTTCTGCTATCTTCTGCCGAATTCTTTCTTCCTCGAGATCTGCCTGAGGGCCAAAGAAAACTCATCTGTGAGCAAGAGGTGAAGGGATATTCAGGGGTAGAACCTGGAATTCATCATCATGGTCCATCCATCCCCCTTTAAGACCTTCTTTAAATGTTCACGTCTGCCCAGATATCTTCCCAGACCAAGCCCAACCAGCTTTCATGTTTACTAAGGCCTAAGTCAAGGTAGAACCTCCTATCTATGACTTGCAGTTAGAGGCACCTGGGTGGCTCAATCGGTTGAGCATCTACCTTCGACTCAGGTCAGGATCCCAAGGTCCTGAGATCTAGCCTCATGTAGGGCTTTCTGCTCAGCAGGGAGTCTGCTTCTCCCTCTCCCTCTGCCCCCGGCCCCACTCCATGCTCTCTTTCCAATAAATAAAATCTTAAAAAAAAAAAAAAAAAAAAGATTGCACTTAGACTTCACAGTAACTGTGAACACATAAGCAAAACCTATTCCTGGCACTACTTAACTGTGTAGTATGTGTCATTCCTTTAAACAAATCACATATTTGATTTGATCCCTTCCATCTCACTTTATTATGCGTTTGTTATGATCATCCCCTCCTCCTATTTTTTGGTGGGTTTGTTCAAGATACTATTTGCTCCTCTTTCTACCCTTAAGAATCTGGAAATTCTCTTGTATTTTTCGTATTCTCCCCACTCCACCTTGTCTAGTTCTGTTTCTCCTGGTGTAAGTGATGCATGACAGGTTCTCATCAGGTGGAAAAATAACACTGGAAGGCGGTAGGGAAGGAGGGCAGACACCATCCCCTCCCACCCACCCGCATGTGCCCAGCTCCCCTCCTGTCCCCAGTCCACCAGCTCCATGCTTCAGTGAAGGTGATCAAACCCAGGAGGTGGTTCTCCATGGAAAGTTCTGGAGGATGACACAAGGGCAACTTGCTAAGCACTAAAGAGAGCTTGGCCCTCACCCAGATCCTCTGCCACGTGCAACCCCCACAGCTTTCCCAGGCATGACTTCACTGGCAAGGAACCGATTGAGAGAAAACCCAGCAGCACTCACTCGGAGCTCATACCGCAGGCTACTGTGCTTCAGGTCCGCCATGCTGCGGTTGGTGATGCAGAAGTCCCAGCCGGCAAAGATCTTGTTGCAGTAACTCTGGAAGTGCTCCTCACTCCGGATCAGGTTGATTTTGAATCCTTCCACCGACCTGACCCCAAAACACGATGACCCTTCTTAGAAGAACAACAGTGAAACACGGACCTGTGGATTGGCTTTGCTGACAACATAAAAAGGTTACGCACTCATTTTCACGGGGACAAGTTTTGGACCATGCCACGTATATGGGGCAGCTAACCAGGTAGCTCATTGTGAAAAAGAATCTCCTTTCATCTATCCAAGGGCTTCTCTCATAGTTGGAATAAAATCCAAACTCTTGACCACAGCCTAGAGATCCTGCATTATGCCATCCTTCTTCCCATACGGCCATGCTGCTGTGACTACCATGGCTTTTTTTCCTTTCTATAAACTCACCAACTTCTCTGGCCACAGGGCCTTTGTACTTACAGGACCCCTCTAAGAACTCCTCAGACAGTTCTTCCCCTGCCTCTTCCCATGGCTGCTTCTTCCTCATCATTCAGGTTTAAGCTCAAACATCCCTTCCAAAGATTCCTCATCGTGCCCTCTAAAGTTCTGACCCCCCCTTCAGCTTAGTCTACTTAGTCTACTTTCTTCATGGCAAGGACCCTAATCGGCAATTATTATGGGTTTACTGCTTGCCCCTTAACCCGACTACATTTTAAACTCCTTGAGGGCAGGTACATGGGTGGTCTTGCCACATTTATATCTGGAATGCCTGGACTGTAATACGACCACTGTGAATGAATGAATCAATGACTTAAATCGTAAAATAACCAAATATTTAGAGAGCAAGCACCTGTTCAGATCAGATGCCACACTGTTGCACACTTTGTAATTTTAATTCATTCAACTAACTAAAATTTAAATTAAAATTTAAAATTTTTAATTAATATTCCTTGCTATTCATTTCTTGGGAACTGGCATCTCCCACTGAAGCACCTGTCTACCGTGGAAAATGTGAGGTTCTCATACCATCTGGACCCACTGCCTTTAGTTGAAGGGTCAGAGTTGGGTATCTGAGTGAAGAGCCAAAAAGCCTCTTAAAAAGGATTTCTGAACCTATGACCTTGGGAGTCCACATAAGAAAGCCACCACCAGGGGCACCTGGGTGGCTCAGTGGGTTAAGCCTCTGCCTTCGGCTCTGGTCATGGTCTCATGGTCTCAGGGTCCTGGGATACAGCCCTGAGTTGGGCTCTCTGCTCAGCGGGGAGCCTGCATCCCCCCGCCCCCCGCCGCCTCTGCCTGCCTCTCTGCCTACTTATGATCTCTCTCTCTTCCAAATAAATAAATAAATAAAATCTTAAAAAAAAAAAAAGAAAGAAAGAAAGAAAGAAAGCCACCACCAGGAGAATCACCAGAGATGAGGGAACCCTTGCTTTTGGTTGTTTGGAAGACATAACCATACCCTTATCCTGCCTGTAATTTGGAGTTTCCTCCCTTCCTTGGTTCTCTCAATTCCCTTTTACCCAGTTTGTCAGAGTTGGATTTCTGCCACTCACAACCCAAAAGAGACCTGATTAGCAACCATACTAGATCAGAGATAAGGTTACGTTATAGTGCTGGCAAACGTGCGCAATGATGATTTGACCGCTGTTCCAGCTACCAAATCTTGCCTCTGTTACCTCTAGGTCTCCTCGGCCTACAACATACTCACAAACTTTTTTTCTCATATCCCTGGAATGGGACTCTGGACTCTGCTCATCCCTTGGGCAATGGCTCCCAGGGTCCATAGACCGCGAATAAACTCAACCATCAACGGTAATTCCAAAAGAACACAATGGCCTGATAAATTTTACCTTTTCACTATCCAAAGAAGGCTCAGGGCCAGGTAGGCAATTGTGCTTAATAAATAAGCCAGGGGCAGATCATAGGTGAAGTTGTGAAATTTCACTCCATCAATGGTGTAATGTCCATAAAAGAGGCAGGTCTCCTCCAAGAAACCCTGAAACAAAGCCAAAGGCATGAGGTCACACTGGTTATGCTCACTGCAGGGAACCGGGAGACCAGTCTCTGCCTCAAGAAACCCACGTTTTAGTGTCATAGTTCATCCCTTAATTCTCAGACACTGGAACAATCCTACAGTCATAAGGACTGCTCAACTAGTGTCTGGGGAACAAATCATGGATAAAACCCCAAGCATTAAAAATACAGAGGTGGGGTGCCTGGGTGGCTCAGTGAGTTAAGCCTCTGCCTTCAGCTCAGGTCATGATCTCGGAGTCCTGGGATAGAGCCCCACATCGGACTCTGCTCAGCGGGAGCCTGCTTCTCCCTTTCTCTCTGCCTGCCTCTCTGTCTACTTGTGATATCTCTGCCAAATAAAAAAGTGAAGTCTTTAAAAAAAAAAATACAGGGGCACCTGGGTGGCTCAGTGGGTTGAGGCCTCTGCCTTCAGCTCCGGTCATGGTCCCAGGGTCCTGGGATCAAGCCCCGCATTGGGCTCTCTGCTCAGCAGGGGGCCTGCTTCCTCCTCTCTCTCTGCCTGCCTCTCTGCCTACTTGTGATCTCTGTCTGTCAAATAAATAAATAAATAAAATCTTTAAAAAAAAAATAAAAAAATAAAAAAAAATACAGAGGTGTATGATCCAAAACTGAAATTAAGAAAATAATTCCATGTGCAACAACAGCAGAAAGGGTAACATACTTAGGAATAGATTTAACAAATGAAGTGTAAATCTTACATGCTTAAGACTAGAAAACACTGTATAAAATATTAAAAATCTAGGGGTGTCTGGGTGGCTCAGTCGTTAAGCATCTGCCTTCAGCTCAGGTCGTGGTCCCAGAGTCCTGGGATGAAGCCCTGTGTTGGGCTCCCTGCTCAGCTGGAAGCCTGCTTCTCCCTCTCCTGCTCCTCTTGCTTGTGTTCCCTTTCTTGCTGTCCCTCTGTCAAATAAATATATAAAATCTTTTAAAAAAAATTAAAGATCTTAAAATTAAAGGGGCACCTGGATGGCTTAGTCAGTTAAGCATTAGACTCTTAATTTCAGCTCAGGTCATGATCTCAGGGTCATGAGATTGAGCCCTGAATGTGGCTCTGTGTTCAGCATGGAGTCTGCTTGTCCTTCTCCTCCTGCTCCTCTCCCTGTCTCTCCCTCTCTCTCAAAGAAATAAAATCTTAAAAAAAACTAAGATCTAAGTAAATCGAAAACATACCATGTTCATGGACCAGGAAATTCACAGCAATCTCCAAACTGATCTATAGATTCAACACAAACCTATCAGAATCCCTGGTGTCTTCTTTGTAGAAATTTACTAGCTAATCCTAAAATGAACGTGAAACTGCAAGGGACCTAGAATAGCCAAAACAATCTTGAAAAAGGGGGCACCTGGGTGGTTCAGTGGGTTAAAGCTTCTGCCTTTGGCTCATGTCATGATCCCAGGGTCCTGGGATTGAGCCCTGCCTTGGGCTCTCTGCTCAGCAGGGAGCCTACTAACCCTCTCTCTCTCTGCCTGCCTCTCTGCCTACTTGTGATCTCTGTCTGTCAAATAAATAAATAAAAATCTAAAGAAAAAAAATAGGTTAAACAATCTTGAAAAAGAAAAATTTGGGAGACTTGCACAACCCAATTTCAAAATTACTATAAAACAACAGTAATCAGGACACTGTGGTACTAACTGAAGAACAGACGAGAATCAATTGAATAGAACCAAGACAAAAAAAAATGAACCCATATGTCTATGGTCAACTGATGTTTGATAAAGGGAAAGAACTTTTTTTTCAAGAAATGGTGCTGCTGGGTGTTGTACATAAACCATGAATCTTGGAACACCACATCAAAAACTAATGAGGTATTTTATGGTGACTAACATAACACAATTTAAAGAAAAAAGAAATGGTGCTGAGACAGCTGGTTAGCACATGAGAAAGAAAGAAGGAAGGAAAGAAAGAAAGAAAGATCGATCGATCGATCCTGGAGTCCCGGGATCGAGTCCCGCATCAGGCTTCCTGCTCGGCAGGGAGTCTGCTTCTCCCTCTGACCCCCCTTCTTCTCATGCTCTCTCTCTCTCTCTCAAATAAATAAATTTAAAAAAAGAAAGAAAGAAAAGTTGAACCCCTACTTTATCCCATATATGAAAATTAACTTATGGATCAAAGACTTAAATGCAAGAGCAAAAACTAGAAAACTCTTAGAAGAAAAATAGAGGACTAAAGTCTTCATGACTTTAAATTTGTTCATGAATTCTTAGATAATGCACCGAAAGCCCAAGCAATGAGAGGAAAAATAAAAAGGACTTCATCAAAATTACAAATTTGGGGGTGCCTGTGTGGGTCAGTCAGTTGACCATCTGCCTTTGGCTCAGGTCATGATCCCAGGGTCCTGGGATTGAGCCCCGCATCGGGCTCCCTGCTTAGCCAGAGACCTGCTTCTCCCCCTCCCTCCGCCTGCTGCTCTGCCTACTTGTGCTCTCTATCTCCCTGTCAAATAAATAAATAAAATCTTTTTAAAAAATTACAAATTTTACGGGGCGCATGTGTGGCTCAGTCATCAAGCGTGTGCCTTCTGCTCAGGCCATGACCCCAGAGTCCCAGGATGGAGCCCCACATTGGGCTTCTGCTCAGCGGGAAGCCTGCTTCTCCCTCTCCCACTCCCCCTGCTGTGTTCCCTCTCTTGCTGTGTCTATCTCTGTCAAATAAATAAAATAAATAAATAAATAAATAAAAACGTCTGGGCTTCCAAGGACACAATCAAAAATGTGTAAAGACAATCAGAGAATAGAAGAAAATACTTGTAAATTATGTATCTGATAAGGCACTTGTATCTAGAATATATAAAGAACTCTTGGGGTGCCTGGCTTGCTCAGTTGGTAGAACATGTAACTCTCGATCTTGTGGTTTTAAGTTTGAGCCCACCGGGATGTAGGGATTACTTAAAAATAGAATCTTAAAAAAAAAAAAAAAAACCTCTTATAACTCAACAATAAAAAGACATAATCCAATTTAAAAATGGGAAGAGGGGGCGCCTGGGTGGCTCAGTCATTAAGCGTCTGCCTTCAGCTCAGGTCATGATTCCAGGGTTCTGGGATCGAGCCCCACATCGGGCTCCCTGCTCAGCAGGAAGCCTGCTTCTCCCTCTCCCACTCCCCCTGCTTGTGTTCCTGCTCTCTGTGTGTCTCTGTCAAATAAATAAATAAAATCTTTAAAAAAAAAATGGAAAGAGGATCCAAACAGACATTTATTCAAAGAAGATATACCATGGGGTTGCCTGGGTGGCTCAGTTGCTTAAGTGTCTGACTCTTGATTCCCGCTCAGATCCTGATCTCACGGTGGTGAGATCTGACCCCTACGTTGGGCTCCATGCTTAGCACAGAATCTGCTTGAGACACTCTCTCTCTCCTTCTCCCTAGACCCCTCCCCTGCTTACGTGAGGGCTCTTTCTCTCAATAAAAAAATAAATAAAATCTTTAAAAGGTACATAGGGGCACCTGGGTGGCTCAGCGGGTTGGAGCCTCTGCCTTCGGCTCAGGTCATGATCCCAGCGTACTGGGATGGAGCCCCGCATCGGGCTCTCTGCTCAGCAGGAAGCCTGCTTCCTTGTCTCTCTCTCTTTCTCTGCCTGCCTCTCTGTCTACTTGTGATCTCTGTTAAATAAATAAAAATAAAATCTTAAAAAAAAAAAAAAAGAAGGTACATAATGGTCAATAAGCACATGAAAAGATAGATGCTCAACCCCATTACTCATTAGGGAAATGCAAATCAAAATCACAAAGACACTCCACTTCACACAAACTATACCGGCTATAATCAATAAGTCAAGTAAATACCAAGTATTGACAAGAATGTTGGGGACATCAGAACCCTCACACACTGCAGGTGAGAATGTAAAATGGTGCCTCTACTTGGGAGAAGTTGGGCAATTCCTCAAAAAGTTATACAACGGGGGCGCCTGGGTGGCTCAGTGGGTTAAAGCCTCTGCCTTCAGCTCAGGTCATGATCTCAGGGTCCTGGGATCGAGCCCCACATCGGGCTCTCTGCTCTGCGAGGAGCCTGCTTCCCTCTCTCTCTGCATGCCTCTCTGCCTACTTGTGATCTCTCTCTGTCAAATAAATAAATAAAATCTTAAAAAAAAAAAAAAAAAGTTATACAACGGGTCACCATCTGACCTAGGATGCCACTCCCAGGTATATACCCTGAGGAATCAAAAAGATCTGTCCCCAACAAAAACCTCACCCATGAACGTCCATAAGCAGCATTATTCATAATAGCCAAAAAGGTGTAAACCACCCAAATGTCCACCATGAATGGACGAACAAAATGCAGTATAGCTGCACAACGGAGTCTTTTTTGACCAGAACAAGCAATGAAAGACTGGTAAGATGCCATACATGGATGAACCTTAAAAACATGCTTAAAAACAAAGCAGCCCAAGACAAAAGACCATGTATTATAGGATTCAGTGTTGATGAAATGTCCAGAACAAGTATTTCGTAGACAGAAAGTAGATTCATGGTTGCTTAGGGCTGATTAGAAGGATTGGTAGGGGATATGGAAAAGGTATAGCATTTCTTTTTAAGGCAATGGAATTATTCTAAGATGGACAGGTGATGACAGCACCTACCTGTGAATAACTAAAAACACATTGAACTGTACACTTTAAATGGGAGAATTGTATGCTAGGTGAATTATTATCTCAATAAAGCTGTTACCAAAACCAAACCAAACAAAAAAAACCAAAGTTGCCCTATGTGAAAGTATAGCACAGAAAAGTTCCTGACTCCTTAGGGTGGAAATAACTGAACACACCACACGTCTCCTTTGACAGTGGGAAAATTCGAGGACAGTGGGAAGACAGTATATTGAGAAAGTAGAAATAGTATATATGTAGTACACAGCTGTTCAGTATAGTGTTGTTTATAAAGGGGTAACATGAAAGCAACAGGGAACTTGCAAGACCATGTAAAAGCCATATTATAAAATATGAAGCAACACCATAAGAAGTAAGTACACGAGAAAGGTCGAGAAGGCTATGAGCCATTGTGGCCTCCGGGGAGAGGTATTTTTACCTTTCACTCAATAAATTCTTAAATTCATAAATATATTTTTTAACAATTTTATTTATTTTATTTGTAGACAGAGATCATAAGTAGGCAGAGAGGCAGGCGGCGGGGGGTGGGGGGGAAGCAGGCTTCCCGCTGAGCAGAGAGCCCAATGCGGGGGCTCTATCCCAGGACCCTGAGATCATGACCTGAGCCGAAGGCAGAGGCTTAACCCACTGAGCCACCCAGGCGCCCCTCTTTCTTTTTTTTTAAAGATCTTATTTATTTGACAGAGAGAAAATACTCGATTACTCAATAAAAGAATATATGGTTATCATAAAAAGTATTTTTATGATAACCATATAGTCTCATATATATATGCTCCCTTGCCGGGGAGCCTGCTTCCTCCTCTCTCTCTCTGCCTGCCTCTCTGCCTACTTGTAATCTCTTTCTGTCAAATAAATAAATAAATAAAGTCTTTAAAAAAAAAAAAAGGCCAGAAAAACTTGCCCAACTACATGAAACCTGTTTCTATTGCCCCAGGTTGATATCAGGCTGTCAGTGATATGTCCCTCCAAATAATGAAATATTATAGGGTAAAGATCCAGCAGGCCTGGAAAATAATCTTTCTGATTTGACTATGAGTTCAACTGTTTTCAGCAAAGACAAGCCAGTGTTTAAAGATTCATTCATTCATTCATGAGAGAGCAAGAGAGCACGCTCCAGAGAGCAGGCGGGACAGAGAGCAGGCGGCGGGAAGGACACGGAGAAGCTGAGCAGGGAGCCTGATGCGGGACTGGGTTCCACGACCCCAGGAGCAGACCCTTAGCCAAACGAGCCACCCAGGTGCCCCGACAAGCCAGTGTTTAATCTCTCTGACCAACTCTCCTTTCATCACATACAGTCTATGGAACATTTATTAAGTGCATCTATCAAGTGTCCTACAATTTTTCCTGTAAGGAAGGAGGTTATACTGTGTGGAGATCCACAAAGAGAAACTTCTCTTGTGGAACGTTATCTACACAAACGGGGCCAACAGTAGTTCTGGGAATCTGATCCCACTTTGCTTTCACTAGTGACCTTGGGTTAGTCCCTGAATTTCTTTCTTCCTTATATGTTTTATACAGCTGATTCCGTTTCATCTTTTGCATGGTGGACATTTTAATAATCACCTAACAGTCCCTTCTCATTACTCTGAGGAAAATATGAGCTCAGAGATGTAAAAACCACTTTTTCAAAATCAAATGCAGTGGACAAACTCAAAGCTTTTTACGTTTCGAAAAGTGGACGCTCAATGACATGGCATTTTGAGACCAGTAACTTTCAGAAAGATTTATTTTATATATTTGTATTTTTTTTAAACATCTAAAGGAGTGGTTCTTCTTCCTCTTCCTCTTCTTTTTTTTCTTTTAAGTAGGCTCCGTACCTGCCGTGGGGCTCAAATTCCTTGCCCTGGGATCAAGAGTCACATGCTCTCCCCACAGAGCCAGCTAGGTGCCCCTCCAAAGGAGTTTTTTGTTTTTTGGTTTTTTTAAAGACTTTATTTATTTATTTGACAGACAGAGAGCACAAGTAAGCAGAGCAGCAGGCAGAGAGAGAGATGAGGAGGCAGGCTCCCTGGCAAGCAGAGAGCCCGATGCGGGGCTCGACCCCAGGACCCTGAGATCATGACCTGATCCGAAGGCAGAGGCTTAACCCACTGAGCCACCCAGGCACCCCTAGAGACATTTTTGATTTGTCACAACTGTGGCTGCTACCAGCATCTAGTGGGCAGAGGTCAGGGACTCTGAACTTCCTACCGTGTAAAGGAAAGGCCCCCACAATAAAGTAGTGTTGGTTCCCAAACATCAGCAGTGCTGAGGTTGAGGGAAAACCGGTTTAGAAGGCAGACACGGCCACTTTTCATAGCTACAACCTTATTTCCTGAAAAAAAGAGGGATATACAAATGGATGCACACACAAAAAATCAATTTTTAGAAGAAGATAAAAAAAAAAAAAAAACTCTTGGAACTACGATAGGAAGGATGAACTTAGTTCCACTTCAGAGCAAGGCTTTAACCTGGGGTTACTTTGGATTTCAGGGAATGTATATGGACGTGTACGCATGTGGCGTGCACACACACACGAGCACATATATGTCTGATGCATCTCTCTGTGTGTGACTACCAGGAGGAAGAGCTGTAGCTTTCAGTGGGGTGGTCTGGGACCCTACCATGTAAGGTTTTACAGTGTCTGAGAAATTAAATAAATTCTATCTGGGGTGATTTTCACTGACACTTCTGTCTTTGGGGAAGACTCAGTATTTTGTTACAAGTCAATCCAGAGGGGGCTGGGACTAAGGAATGGCCAGTGGCTGAAAAGTGACAAAGCCTGTTTTCTCTATGTTCTAGCCGCGGGTGGGTGAACATTATCCTTGCCGACGAAGTCCCTGCAAATCCTGTTTCTTTTACTCATATTTGTGTCAAATCCTGTGCCTGGCTCTCACTGCAGACAATCAGGAATCTGATCTTTAAAATAACCTACTTTCAGGGCGCCTGGGTGGCTCAGTGGATTAAGCCTCTGCCTTCGGCTCAGGTCATGATCTCAGGGTCCTGGGATTGAGCCCCATGTTGGGCTCTTTGCTTGGTGGGGAGCCTGCTTCCTCCTCTCTCTCTCTGCCTGCCTCTCTGCCTACTTGTGATCTCTCTGTCAAATAAATAAATAAAATCTTTTTAAAAAATTAAAAAAAAAAAACAAACCTACGTTCAGTCTATTGAGGGTCCAAATACAGAACTATGTTAAATACTTACCGTGCCGGAGAGCAAGTCTATGACATAACTATAAAAGTATATGAGTCCAGAGCTACTTATTGGATATATGGTGCACTGAACATCTGTGAAAAACAAAAACAAGATCAGTGGAAAAGAGGTTTACAGTCTCCACAACGCGTCTATCATAAGTTGTATATATAGGCCTGCACATGTATGTTCCTTTAGAGAGGTCACATATAATCACGTATGGATGTTTATGAATTTGTGGTTTTCTATTTGCAGTGCAAACCCCAATATACCAAGTATAGCACCATTTTCTCCTCTCCCTACACACCTATTGATATATGTTTTTTCCTATATACTTTTTTCTATATACTTTTTTTCTATATACTTTGTATATAGTATTTGTACATATTTTTTTCTATGTACTTTGTACATGGGTCCACTTACACACAGTACACAACCAATTTTTTTTAATTAATAATTTTTTTTAATTAAAGAAAAAGTAGCATGGAAACAATCCAGGTGAAGGAAAACCAATTTTAAAAAGATCTCGGGGCGCCTGGGTGGCTCAGTGGGTTAAGTCTCTGCCTTCGGCTCAGGTCATGATCTCAGGGTCCTGAGATCGAGCCCTGCTTCGGACTTTCTGTTCAGCAAGCAGCCTGCTTCCCCCTCTCTCTCTGCCTGCCTCTCTGTCTACTTGTGATCTCTCTCTCTGTCAAATAAACAAATTAAAATCTTAAAAAAAAAAAAAAAAAAAGATCTGTACGTGTGTGGAAATAAACACACAGCTTCATTAAAACAACCTATGCAGGGGCGCCTGGGTGGCTCAGTGGGTTAAAGCCTCTGCCTTTGGCTCAGGTCATGATCCCGGGATCCTGGGATCGAGCCCCACATCGGGCTCTCTGCTCAGCGGGGAGCCTGCTTCCTCCTCTCTCTCTCTCTTCCTGCCTCTCTGCCTACTTGTGATCTCTCTGTCTGTCAAATAAAAAAAAAAAAAACAACCTATGCATTTACATATGCACAAATAACCAAGAAATTATTTGAATGTCAATTTTAATGACACTACCTTATCCTTGAACAGCTCATTCATTTTCCCTGTATCAGTGAGCTATTGCTTTGTAACAAAGAACCACCAAGTGTCAGTGACTGAACATACCAAACATTTATTTTCTCAGTCATGGAGCTGCAATTTGAGTTCATTGAGTTGATGCAGGCTGAGCTAGGATGGAACCCAGGCTTCCACATGGGCTCAGGTCTGCACCATATGACTTCATTCTGGGGCCCAGGCTGAGGCAATGGTTATCTGGGCAATGCTCTTCTCATAGGCAAGCCAACCACACAAGCCATTTCAAGTGAATACTCCACTGGACAAAATCAGCCACATGGCCAAGTGCAATACCAATGGGACAGAAACTATTCTCTGCCCACAGTGGGCAGAGAATCACAATCACAATTACAGGGGAGTGAAAAATCGAGGAAAATAACCCAATCTACCACCCCTTCTCTGGGCTTTAGTTTCCCCTTTGTTAACGAAGGGAGTAGAACCAGTTCCTCCAAGGCCAATTCCAGTTCTGCCATTTTATAATTCTCACTGAAGTCAGGCTCTGACTCAGCTGGCCTACTTCTGGCCCCCAGCACGGAGCTTCATACCTAGAGGGGAATCAATAATGTCTGTAGAATGACAGAGACTCTCCGTGTTTTTGTTTGAAAACACAGAATGCCCCAAAGATGGGACATATGTCAATTATTTAATAAGAAAACACAGGTCCAGCATTTGGTGTAATGTCTGGCACATGACTGGTGGAGGCCTGAGTGTCCCCATTACCAGAGATAAAAGTCTCAACATAAAGTTACAGGAGTAGGTTATATCATGTTTGCTAAATTTTCCTCTTTCTTAGCTCGCAGTGCTTCTCCCAAATGCCTTGCTGAAATCAGGACTGGCCAAGTGACTTGCTTTGGGTAATGAGATGCAGCAGAAATGACAGGTGTCATTTCCAGGCAGTAGCTTTAGGAGATGGGATGTTTGCCACTGGCTCTTTTTCCTTTGGACACAGTGACCATCAGTGGTCCAGAGAGAGGCTGCTCCATCAGCTTGGGCTCCAGAGTGAAGATAATACGGAACAAAGCCACCACCCAACAGTACTGGGGTGATAAAGAACCTTTTGTGGCTATTAGGTGCTGAGAGTTACGGGGTCACTTGTTTCTGCAGCATACCCAAGCCCATCCTAACGTAGGCACCAACAACTTAGAATACGAAGATTCCCAGAGAAGGAAGCCCTGTAGACAGGTACACAGTGACAAGAACATTCTCACAGCAAACCAGGGCTTAGACTCACCCGTGTCTTTGGATGGAATGAGCACGAAGGTGCTGTTGGTGATGTTGTATTTGGTGAGCAAGACTGGGAGCAAAACCAGCATAAAGATGATCAGAAATATCACCAAATTCAGCAACACCAGAAACCGCAAGAAGGAGAAATAGGACTGAATCCCAGTGCCAAATTTCCCTGGAAAAAAGAAATCCAGACATCACTGACCAGGACTATTGACCCACATGCATTACCCACAGTAGAACCAATTAGTCAAAAAGCTGAATTTCGAGTAATATTGATGGGGGAGTGAAGAAGTATTTTGGTTTTCTACTGTTGGTTTTAAGGTTCTCCTTCTTTCTAAATCTACCCTTGACCTTGAATGAACTACTTGACAACGGTGTGAGGCAGGACTCAATATCTATCTTTTCTTATATGAATATCTAATTGACTCAATGCCATTTTACTGAAAAGGCTACACTTTCCCCAGTGGATTGAGGGAGTGCTTTTGCAATGGACCATAAATGTATGAATCCAAATAAAATAAAATAAAAGTATGAATAAAATAAAATAAATGTATGAATCCATTCCTGAATTCTGACCAGCCATGTGCTAAACAAAAACCTCCAGAAAGGCCACCACTAAACAAGAAAGGAAGCTGGGGATAGTGGCTGAACCCCTGGGCTTGGAAGCTTGGATCGGCCTGGATCAGATCCTTCAAATCCTGGGTCTGCCTCATCCTAGCTGAGTGAACTTGGATAAGTATTTTAACCTCCCTGAGCCATGCAAATGATGCCTACAGGGAATGCTCTTATGAGGATTAACTAAGCCCATCCGACCCCCTCACAGAAAAAGGTCAGTCAGGGTTAGCTTTTATTATTTGGCTCCAACTGTGATGCTGAGCTTAGATCTCGGAAAAAGTACAACCAGACGGTTACGTTTTAAGTGAGCCCATGAAGCCCCTGGTGATAGAGTTTACATTCCCCCAAGAAAACATCAATTTAAAAAGGTACTTCATTGAATAAGTTACCAAGAGTATTTTATAGGTCTTAAAATAGTAATAATGACAGCATTCCTTCCATTCATCCTGCCACATTCCCTACAAACTTGACAAAATTCCTACATTAGATTTGAGGAGTTGTTTGTAAATCGTTTTTGCTTTATGGTAGAAACTATGTCATCCTAAGAGGTATTTTCACCCTGGCTCTGCTTTGTCACCCAAATGTTTCAATGTTTTCTCCTAATTTTATATTTTGGCACAACTTCCAGTTTTTGTTTTTTGTTTTTTTTAACTTCCAGTTTTTGTATACTTGCTATGGACTGAATTTTATCTCACCCCCCCCCAACCCCCACCCCTTCACCCTATGGTGAAGCCCTAACCCCTAATGTGATGATATTTCAAGGTGGGGCCTTTGGGAGGTGATCAGCTTTAGATGAGGTTGTAAGAGGGGGTCTCTAAGATGGGATTTAGTGGCCTTACAAGAGGCATCAGAACTTTCTCATTCTTTCTCCTTCTCTTTCTCCAGGAGCACACAAAGATGAAGTCATGTAACGGTCATGTAAAGACACGGTGAGAAGGCAGCCTGGTCCTGAACTTCCAGTCTCCAGACTGTAAGAAAATACATTTTGGGGCACCTGGGTGGCTCAGTCAGTTAACTGTCTGCCTTCAGCTCAGGTCATGATCCCAAGCTCTGCATGGGGTGAGGGGCAATCAGCAGGGAGTTTGCTTGTTCCTTTCCCTCTCGTCCTCGCCTTCTGCCACTCATGCTAAAATCTTAAAAAATAAATAAATAAATAAAAATTAAAAAAAATTTCTGTTGTTGAGGTCACCCTGTCTATGGTATTTTGTTACAGCAGCCAGAGCTGACTGACCATACTGCAACCCAATCCTTACCCATGTGGAAAAGTAGGGATTTTCAATATTTTTAGGGCCATGGGCACTTTCAGCAGTCTGGCAAAGCCTAACGAACCCCATCTCAGAATAACATTTTAAATGCACCAAATATTATATGTTAACAAACTAGAATTTAAATTTAAAATTGGAAAAAAAATTGGAGTGTCTGGGTGGCTCAGTGGGTTAAAGCCTCTGCCTTCGGCTCAGGTCATGATCCCAGGGTCCTGGGATCGAGCCCCGCATCAGGCTCTCTGCTCGGCAGGGAGCCTTCCTCCCCCCCTCTCTCTGTCTGCCTCTCTGCCTACTTGTGATTTCTGTCTGTCAAATAAATAAAAAATCTTTTTAAAAAATTGGAAAAATAAATGGAATCATATATTTTGCATATATATGGACAAATAAAATAAATATAACAAATAAAATATAAAATAAAATGAAATGAAATAATAAATGCACCAGGGGGTGCCTGGGCGGCTCAGTCGTTAGGCATCTGACTTCAGCTCAGGTCATGATCCCAGGACCCTGGGATCAAACCCCGCACTGGGCTCCCTGCTCTGTGGTGGGCCTGCTTCTCCCCCTCCCACTCCTCGTGCTTATGTTCCCTCTCTCGCTGTCTCTCTCTCTCTCTGTCAAATAAATAAATAAAATCTTAAGAAAATAAAATAAGATAATAAATGCACCAAATATAGGGGCACCTGGCTGGCTCAGTCAATAGAACATGGGACTCTTGATCTCAGGGTTGTAAGATTGAACCCCATGTTGGGTGTAGAGATTACTTAAAAAAAAATAAAATCTTAAAAATAAATACAAATGGGCATACAGTTATAATACTAAAAACCAAATTTGTGCTAAAATAATACATGAGCATCTTCATTAGCACATTAAATACTTAGACCTAGTGGCCGATCTTGCAGATTCACTGCTGCAATTCCAAAGTAGTGATGAGCATGAGTGATATTCCAAGATAATACAATCAGAAGGGAAAGGAAAATATCTGATTTTCCTGGGGACGAAGACACAGGTTCTGCTAATCCTAACGGGTGCCATTGCTCCCATTCATTGTGGAAGGCAGTGCCAAATTTCATCTAGAGGTTAGAGAAAATGTAGTTGTACTTTCCCCCAGGCACAGAGGTCTCCTGCAGAGGAGCACGTGCAGAGAGGGGGTTTGGTACCTTCTATGCTGCGAATGTCCTCCCGCCACAGCTCCAGGTGGGTGGTCATCTCACGAGCCTTCCCTATGAACCTCTTCCAAGACTTGCTGCTGTACCGTTTCCACTGGTCCCACTCAGATAAATACTTCATTTGGGTCTCCTGAATGTTCCTGCATTAAAAAACAATATGACAGGGGCGCCTGGGTTGGCTCAGTGGGGTAAAGCCTCTGCCTTCAGCTCAGGTCATGATCCCAGGGTCCTGGGATCGAGCCCTGCGTCGGGCTCTCTGCTCGGCAGGGAGCCTGCTTCCCTTCCTCTCTCTCTGCCTGCTTCTCTGCCTACTTGTGATCTCTGTCTGTCAAATAAATAAATAAAATCTTTTAAAAAATTTTAAGAAAAAAAAAAAAAAAACCAACACGACAATGATCAGTAAAGCGTCCTTAAGCCTTGGCATCAAATAAAACCTCAGCCGAGAGGATGTGGAAAACCTAGAGCCTTCCACTGCTGGTGGAAATGTATAATGGTGTGCCCCTAGGGAAAAGAGCCTGGATATTCCTCAACACGTTAAACACAGAATTACTACTATGACCCAGCGATTCCACTCCTAGGCAGATACCCCCAAAGAACTGAAAACAAGGGGATCCCAAACAAAAACTTGCACATTGCAGCACTATTCACAATAGCCAAAAGGTGGAAACAACCCAAATGCCCACCAACAGATGAATGGACAAAAAAAACCGAGGCATATCCATCCATACCATGAAGTGCCATTCAACTGTAAAAAGGAATGACATACGGATACATGCCATAGCTTGGCTGAGTCTTGAAAACATTATGCTAAGTGAAAGAAGCCAGGTACAAAAGTTCATATATTGTATGATTCCATTTACCTGAAATGTCCAGAATGGCAAATCTACAGACAAAGAGTAGATCAGGGGTTAGCAGGGGTGAGGGGAGGGGAAACAGGGAGGGACTGCAGATAACAATGAGGCTCTACAGAGCTGCAGAGCCACAAGCTGGAAAGAGCCTGGGTCCCTGAATGACTACAAAGTTCCCCCTTGATCTGAAGCCAGGACTGATGTGAACAAGAAACAAACTTCTAATATGTTGAGCTACGACATGTTTGGGTAACTTTGTCGCTGCAGCTTGGCTGACCCTGAGTCATACATTTCTAATTACGTGAACTCTTCAGGAAATGCATTCCATGCATAAAGCACACCTCTGCCCAAAAACATACATCAGATGGCTTCTAGATGGCCACCGAACAAACCTTAGCCTCCGCTTCTCAGAGATGTTCAGTGCATACTTCCGAATTGACTGGCTATTGAGGTTTTCAGTGATTCCTCCCTCCAGCTGAGAGCTGTAAGAGTCTGTTGGCTTCAGCAAAGTGCCACTTTGCTTGTCTCGGGGAAGAATGGTTGTCCTCCTGCGTGCAATGGACCGATAGCTTGGCAATTCTTGAAGGAAATTAACAGGTGGAGAAGAAAAGCCACTGGAGTCCACAGAGAGGTTCTCTGGGCAAGAAGAAAAAGAGAACCATCATTGACCACAGTGAGCTTGGGAGCCAACTAAAAAAAAAAAAAAAAAAAAAAAAAACTTTGCATACCTAAATCGTGCAGATGGTCACTAGCTTGCACCATTGACAAAAGCATTTGTACCTTCATTATTCTATTTACCAGGATGGTGATCGGGACAATACCATCATCTGCAAACAGTTCACTTTCAGCAGCTGCGTGTGCAAATATACTTTAGGTGACATAATATCTGAGTTCTAGTGCTTGGATGCAGTCCCTAGCTAGATGTGTGACCTTGGGCAGTTATCTGAACTTGTCTACATTTGTCAGATGGGACCAGTCCTATATGCCCCAACTATCTTTCCAAGTATAGGCTATAATTTGTAGAACTCTGAAATAAAGCATTATGCAAATGCATAGTGATACCATAAACAGCAACAATAATAATAGTATTGACAGAGCACGTCCTGTGCACCAGGCACTGTGTTAAGAGCTTCACATGCACTCATGGATCTGGGCTGGCTGTGGGATCTGCTCAGACCAACAGAATGCAGCAGAAGTGATGCTGGCCAGTTCTAAGCCTTGCCAGCTTCTCTGTTCTCTAGATCCCAGCTGCTGCCATGTGAACAAGCCCAAGCTGACCTGCTAAACGTTAAAACCACTGGAGCAGGGACGATCACCCCAGCTGAGACCATCCCAGGCCGGCCTGCAGCCAGCTGTCACTCAGCTGACCACAGAGGCTCACACATACTGAGGTGGGTACAATTATCAATCCCATTTTACAGATGAGAAAGTTGATGGGTTGCCCAACCCCATGCCCAGGTCCTCAGAGCTCTGCATGGTTGGACACTTGTCTGTGTCTAGAGGGTTCTTTGCTCCCCAACTACATATTTTTTAAGATCTTTCAGATACTAAGATGGTTTCCTCCTCCCATTTCCTCTTCCTCAGAGCCTTTGCATATGCTGTTCCCACTGTCTGCAATGAACTTACCACACCTATTTATCCTATTAGCTCCGACTCACATGTCACTTCCTCAGGGAAACCGCCTCTGCCCCACTGCACTATTACAGGTGCCTTGTTACACATCCCCCCGACACACACACACACACTAAGTCTTTTATAGCATATAACAATTTGTAAATATATAATATTTGCAAATAAATTTGTGTGACTGTGTGAGTACATCTATCTCCTCCAGGAGACTGGAAAGAAGTTCTCAGAAGGCAGGAACTAGGATGATGTCTTCACCACTGCACCCCAGGACCTAGCATCATCCTTGACTCAGAAAGTAATTTAATAAATGCTCATTAGATGGATGGATGGATGGATGGATGGTTGGTTGGATGGATGGTTGGATGAATGGTTGGATGGGAAGATGGATGGATGGATGAATGGATGGGTGGGAAGATGGATTGAAAGATGGATGGATGGATGGATGGATGGATGGATGGATGGATGGATGGATGGAAAGATGGATAGATGAATGGAAGGATGGTTTGATGGATGGTTGGATGGATGGGAAGATGGATGGATGGATGGATGGATGGATGGATGGATGGATGGATGGATGGAAAGATGGATAGATGAATGGTTGGATGGTTTGATGGATGGTTGGATGGATGGGAAGATGGATGGATGAACGGATGGATTGCTAATTTGCCCATACTTAATCTGTGAGTAGGGGCACTGAAAACAAACCAGGCCTGCCTGACTCAGAAATACAGATTTGTTCTACTACATCAGGCCACTGTTGGAGGCCAAGTTTTGCTGTGGCTTATGCTGTGGGTCTAAGAAGGGAGGGCCTTCCACTGAAGCTGAGGGACACCACCTTCAAGATGGGTTTTATGCCTGATCCAATTTTAGTTGTGGAAAGATTACCTTTAATGGAGAAAGGACACAGGGAGCGGAAGTAGGAAACAGCCATAATTACCTAAGCAATTACCTCTATAGGCAGCAAAACTTCTAAGGCTTAATATTAGATGCTAAATTGCTTGGGTTTGAATCCTAGCTCGTTGATCATTAGTGTGTGTGTCTTTGGGAAAGTTACTTAACCTTTGAACTTCAGTTTCCTCATCTCAAATATTCATTCAACAAATGTATCTACCATGTGTCCTATCTGGAGCTAGAGATACTGCCGTGAACAAAGGAAATGCCCTATTCACATGGCACTTACATACTGAGGTGGGGGCTGGGGAAGATTAGACAGTAAACAGGTGATGAATATTATGTCAGGAGGTGATAAGTGCAAAAACAAAAACAGAGTGGGGTAAGGAGACACGTGATAGTCAGAATGCACCAGTTCTGAGAAGGTGAGTCAGGTATGGTCTCTGTACTAAAGTAGCACTTAAGCTGAGGCTGAACAGAGGGCATAAGCTCTGTGTATATTTGGGGAAGGGCATCCCAGGAGAGGGAAACAGCAAGTGCAAAGGCCCTGAGACAGGGTGTGTAAGGTGGGCTTGAGGAAGAGCATGGAGGCCTATGTGGCTGGAGAAGAGTGAATGAACAGGAACTTCATAGGCTCTGTTGTTGTTGACCTCTGATGAGCCACGCCAGCCCCTCCACAGTCCCCTCCCCTTGAATCTGTGTTGGATCTATGACTTGTTTTAGCCAGAGGTCGCAATAGAAATGTTGCTCTGCCAATTCTAGCCTCAAGCCTTAAAAGGGCCTGGAAGTTCCCATTTCTGTGCAGTTGGGACCCCAAAGTGGCCATGTAAGAAGTCTGGCAATGCTGCTGGACCATCATGTGGAGAGGAAGAGGCCCCAAGTGTCCAAAGAAGAGACCCAAGGAAACAGCGAGAACCATAGTCTCTGGCTCTGACCTCAGTGAGCTGTTGCAGCCAGCCCCCAGCCCTTGGGCCATCCTCATGGACCACCACCATGGGCATGAAGAGGCCTTCTGGAAGCTCCAGACCCAACAGACATGACATACAGCAGAGCAAACCATCTCTTCCATGCCCTGCTGATTTCCCGGCACACAGAATGAGCAGAAACAATAAAACAGCATAAGCCATCACGTTTGAAGTAGTGTGTTAACAACAACAGGCAGATGGGACAGGGAGCATGGAAAAGCAGAGGTTAGAGAGGTGCCTGGGGCCAGACTGAGTCAGACTCTGTGGGCTGGCTGTGACGCTTGAATGTGGGGGACGGAGGGCTTGGAGCCAAAGCCCATTGAGACCTAACCACATTTTCAAGGATCACCCTGGAGGCTGCCAGGCCAAGCACGGGACCCATGGGGTGGGGGTGGGTGGGGGGAGCAGCTTCTGAGCATTAAAGGCAACCACATGGGGAGAAACACTCAGCATAGCCGCTGGCACACAGTGGGCTCCATCAATGTACTTACAGCTAATAGGAGGAGGGAGCCCTGGGGAAGGGGAAACCAGCCAAGGCCTCGCTCTCTGAGCAGGAGTCTGACGGTGCAGATTTGTAACGTTGGCCTCTCTGATGAGCATGTTCAGACACAACGGGACATCTGTCCCACTGCAGATGACACACAGACACGCGCCTGGAGCCCTGCCAGCTGCTGGGTACAAGCGGGTGAGTCTCGCTCAACCTTCCACTTCCCTGCTCCTGCGCGCGCCCAGAGGATGTGATCCACTTCCATTAGTAACAGCGGGTAAACACAGTTTGGGGTGTGGGGAGCACAGGGGCCTGGAGGCTAAAGAGTCCAGGCCCTGGCTGGAGGCCACTCCTTCTGGAGAGCAACAAAGAGCTCTTATTAACTGCAAACAAAGGTCTTTGAATACAGAGCACCACCCAGCAACTGAATATTCAGCAACTGTAGGGTCAGGAACCGAGGGCAGGAGCTGGAGCCTGGGTTGGCTTGTCACCCACTAGCCAGGCCACCCCAGGAGAGACAATGACTGCCTCAGGGTCACATGTTTTTTTTTTTTCTCAGGAATGGGGCATATGATATCACGGACCTCATCAGCGTGATCATACAGCGGCATTGCAAACCACCCGAATAATATTAGCTAGGATTTACTAAGCCTGTACCTTGTGCTAGGCTATGGGAGGTACTCAGTATGCTTCAATAGAATCATCCCATTTTGTGGATGAAGAAACTGAGGTTTGGAGAGGTGAAGGGCCTTGCCCATGCACCCAGCTAGGAAGTGTTGGAATGAGCAACCTGTCACAGGTCTGCCAAATGCCAAAGCTGTAGTCCTTAGTGTGACATGATTCAGTGGGCCACAGATTTGAGAGTGCTCTGTGAACACTAAAGATAGAAATTATTTCATGGCTCCTCTCTATACTCCTATTCATATTCCATAACAACAGTCCCTGGTGGAAAACTGTAGTTTCAAAATGGCGGTCATCGAAGGGGAATGACTTATCCTCTTCAGACATTCTTGGGAAGTGCTTCATCTTCAAACAGAGAAAAAAAATCACAAGCCTACCTTTGAACACAGGCGTCACTCTTTCTGTCACGAAGATCCACCTTCCCTCATTTTCACACAGGACCACACATCTGTCAAAGCATGACATCACCTGATTTCCCAAGCCCACCTGCAGCGGTAGCCGGGGAAGGCTTCACTGGCCCGGCTTTTCAACAGGGAAATTGGGGCCCAGAGAAATGGCGGCTCGCCCAAGGCTTTGCTATCATGACAGACTCCAGTTCTACCTTCTTAGAAAGACAGGCTGCATCATCTCTCAGAGCCCTGCTTTTTTCTCATCCTTCGAGAATAAGAATGTCTCCTTACAGCTACTGTCAGACATTCTCCTGAGTTGGTCCAGCTGAGAGTGTCATCGGCAAAGCCAACGAGGTCCTGTGCTCAGTGTGTGGCAGCCTGTTGGCCATTTATATGGGAGGCAGGAGCGTTTTTGAGACATTGGGGGGCCTCCATCTAGGAATGTCTAGAATCTGTTGGCCATTGGAACCAGATTTCAGCAACTATTATTTAGGTGGGAGGATGACTGGGTAATTGCAGGAGATGTGGGGTCAGGGTGGGCCTTAAGTACATCTTCGGATATCTGGCATCCTTCCAGGGTAAGGAAAAAGTC